CTATGAACTTACCTTATATTGTAAATTACACATCTTAGTCTTTTAACATATTTTGAGTCGGTGTTTGTTTAGGAAGCATTTTTCATTAAAACAAGATGTTTGGGAACGTTTAAGTCAGATTAGGAATTTTACTATTTTTAGTAGTCTTACTTGGGGGTGTCAACGGTATTCAAAAATCTGATTTCGAATTCGAGATTTGACATAATCGAATCGAATTCAGATAACTGAAATATCTAATTGGTCGAATTCGGATATGACCTGATTCGATTTGATAAATATCCGAATTCGACCGATTATTTAATTCTTATATATAATATATAAAATATTTAAATGTTTTATATAATTTATATATATAATAATTAAATTATATAAATAATTTATATATTTATATACTTTATATAAAACATATTTATTTTGCATATTTATTAATTACTTAAAATAATTAATTGGTTGAATTTGAGTCAAATTGAATATTCGAATATTTAATCGAATTCGAATTTGAATATTAATTTTCAATATCCGTCGGATATTGAATTTTCTAATCGGATTTGAATTTGGATATTACCTGATTCAATCGAATTCAATCCGTTTACACCCCTAATCTTACTACAGAAAAGTTGGGAATTGCCTATAAATATGCCATTGTACATGAATGATTTCAGTGAAATGAATACAATTTCTTTTGAGTTTTCTCTCTTTTTTTTATACCTCTCCCCTGGATGTGGTAAGCATTTTTTCGATATCTTTTGAAGGGCTACACAACGGAGGGCAACAAGAGACTTCACCAACCAGCATGGGACTTTACCAACCAGCTGGTTGGGGTAAAGTGATGTGGAGGGCAACAAGAGCAACCATCCTTTGGTCTTTGTGGGAGGAAAGGAACAACAGAATCTTCCAAGGGGTAGAAAGATCAAAAGAAAAAGTCATTGACTGCATAGCCATTACAGTTATACACTGGCTGAAAGTTACTGACTTGTTCAAAGACTTTTCAGTGGATGATATACTAAGGGGGTGGTCAGCAGTGGCAAATTCTTCAACTAGACAGTCTGTTTCAGCTTTATTGGACACCTGCAGCGCAACAATGGGTAACATTAAACTTTGATGGAAGCTCCTTGGGTAATCCAGGACCCTTTGGACTTGGGGGAGTCTTCAGAGATGGGGAGGGCAGACTGATAGCACTATATTTTGGTCCCATAGGTGTGGGAGACTCTCTGAGAGCTGAAGTTATGGCTCTACTGCAAGGCTTGAGATTGGCCAAGCAATGGGGATTTCAAAACTTTGAGGTGGAGGTAGATTCTAAACTGTTAATAGGATGGTTGTAGACAAAAAATCTGGGTGTATGGACTTTTAGACAACAAATAAGGGAAATACTTTGCTTAGCAAGGGAGGCTGGGGTAATTTGCAAATGGGGAGGTCAGCCAACTCTGTGGCTGATAGTTTGGCAAATCAGGGGGCCTTCAGGGAGAACTTTTTTTGGGCTGTATTGTGACTTTTGAACTTGATTGGGGTCAACACTCGTTTTCTGACTTCTGAGTGGTTGAAAGTGTATGATGATTAATTATTATATTTAATGAAAGTCATCATTTCCAATAAAAAACATCTTTTTTTTCGGTTTGAAAACAAGGTTGTTTCTCTGATCAAACTACAGAATATTTTCTCTTTGTTATGAGTAAAAACAAAACAAATCCAAGAATGTGTGTGTGTGTGTGTGTTTTGATGCGGTATTTTCTAGAAACATTAGAAAAAAAAAAGAAATACATGTTAGAAGCTTACTAAAAGAAACTTATGTTTTGTTATTGGAGGTGTTTTTTAGAGATGCGGGAGGAAGAATTCTGGCCATTTTCTCTGGCCCAATAGGGTTGGGTGACTCACTTAGAGCAGAAGTGCTGGTGCTCCTCCAGACTCCAGAGGCTTAGAAGGTGTTTTTTTGAAAGGTAAGATAATTTTTATTAGAAATGAACAAGCAAATAGTACATCAGCTCCCTAGCCTCACTGAGATTGGTCAGAAAAGCAGAACAGGTTACAAGCTCCAAAGGGAATGGGATCTTAACAGATCAGACACATTCTAGTTTTTGAACTCAGAATTTACAGATACCCAAGATATCGGTCTGCTAACAGCTTTCACTTTGTTACAGAAGATTCTATTGTTTCTTTTAGTCCAGATAGACCAGAGTACATCTGTAGGAACAGATTTCCATACAATCTTTCCTTTTTTCTTCAGACCTTCGACATTCCAGCAGCACATTAAGGGGTCGTTTGATTGCACTTTTCAGAGGCCTGAATCTGAAAATGCTACTTTTCAGACCTCACCCCTTGTTTGGTTTTACCTCTTAAAATTGGTCTGAATCCTATTTTCAGATCTGAAAATAATAGACCTTGGGCCGGCTCTTAATGTGCTCAGACGCGTTTCAGAGCCGGTGCGTAGTCCAAAATATCCTTACAATATTTTGGAAATGACGCGAGTTACCCCTGATAACCCCAAACCCAGAAAACCTAAACATTCGACCTCTCTCTCTCTCACTCTCTCTCTCTCTCGGTCTCTCTCTCTCCGCCCTGTCTTCCCGCTTGCAGTGGCGGCTCTCTCTCTCCCCCTATCCTCTCTCTCTCTCTCTTCCCACCACTGCC